AGCACTGGGATTACAGGCGTGCACCACCATGCCCAGACTCAAGTTGCTGGTTCAGCACACGCTACACACACAAAAATTGGTGCATAATACACAGTGCCCAAGAAACACCAATTCAAGTTGCTCTACTTTTGCTTTTGAGACTAGTTCTTGCTAAATTGCTTGGGTTTAGCTCAATCCTGGTCCTTGCACTTGCCAAAGTAGGCGCTCAGTCCACTGAGCTATCACCGGCCCTTGCATGAACTTTCAATCCTCCTGCTTCAGCCTCCTGAGTAGTTGGGATGACAGGTGCACACCACCAGGCCTGGCTTGAGTTTTGGTTTTGTTTGCATTTTTAAGAAAATGCTAAGCCAGGTGTGGTGGTGCATGCCTATCATCCCAGCACTCCGGAGGCTATGGCATGAGGATTGTTTTGAGTTCAAGACCAGCCTGGGCTACAAATTGAGCTCAAGGCCAGCCTGAGCTGCATAGTGAGACCTTATCTCAAAAAGACAAAAAAAAAAAAAAAAAAGCAATGAAAAAAAAAGAGACCATGAGAAAGAGAAAGAAAGGGCTGGGGAGGTAGATGGCTCAACAGAATAAGTGCTTCGCTGGCAAGTGCAAGGGCCTGAGTTCAATCCCCAGTTCCGCCAAAAAAAAAAAAAAAAAAAAAGAGAGAAAGAAAAAGCTAGAAGGTACAAGAGCAGACAGCACCTCTACAGGTGCTTCAAGACAGTTCCCTATGGGAGAATCCATTCATAGGAAACGGAACATGGTGCCACAAGGGTGCAGGGCAATATTCACTGAGTGTCAGACAGGCCCAAAGCACCATGATAAGGACAGACAGAAAGGCCTATCTGCAATCCACAGCCACACCAGGCTTGTGGAAAGACTGAGCAGCCACTGTTAAGGAGCTGAGTGATCCAGGGAGGGGTCCCCATGGGTACCCTTGCAGCACAGGAGCTGGAAGGAGGGGAGACAAGGGAGAGCAAGGGGGCCGTTTACCTGCAACTCTAAGGCAAGCAAACAATGATGCCTGCAGGTGGACAAGAAGGAAGACCCTGATATGGCACCATGGAAATGCCAAGATGCTTGGAAGTAAGCTTCTCTGCAAGTAAGCGTGATAACCCACAAATCAGCGTGACTGAGTGTCTGGTACAAGTTCAAGGGTTTGGACCAAGACGTAGCTCAGTGGTGAGCACTTGCCTAACATGTGCAAGACCCTGGCTTCCATGCCCAGGACCACAAAACAAAAACACAAACAAGATATACTGGGTGCAGTGCCAGACACCTGTAATCCCAGCTACAGGGAAGGCTGAGACAGCAGGATCTCAAGTTTGAAGTCAGCCTGGGTCTCAAAACAAAACCAAAAAAGGCCTGGGAGTGTAGCTCAGGGCAGGGCAGACTCCCAGCTTGCACAGGGCCTGGGTGTAGCAAAACAAAGACAAAACCCCACAAAGCTACAGCGAATAAAACTGAGGTAATTAAAGGTTTTCGACAGCATAAGTGCCTGCCTGGCAAGCCCAAGGTCCCGAGTTCGATCCCTGGTATCGCATACTGTATCGGCCCCGGAACCAGGCATGGTGCGCACGCCTGTAATCCCAGAGCTGGGGAGGCTGACACAGGAGGGTCATTACGAGTTGGAACTGCACAGTGAGACCCTGTATCAGTAAATTTTTTTTAAGATAATAAAAATAAAACTCTGGAAGGGCTCTGAGACACTCCAACCATGAACACTGGCATTTACACTGTTGCTGGCTAGCTTAACCTCAATGCTTCCACTCACTCCTTCTTATTCTACCTGCTCTGATGATGCAAACTCGAAGGCTGGGGCTGGCCCTCTATAGAGTGCGGGCCAATCAACAGGCACCGCGGACAGCTGACCAGGACAGAGACAACAGTCACACCTGTGTGTTATTCAGTGAGTGTGTCCAGAAGATGACTCAAGATTGGCACATAATACTGGCGGTACAGCTCAGTGGCACAAGTGCCTGCCTGGCACGCGCTAGGTCCTGAATATGATTCCCAGCACCACACACACACACACACACAATTGTTACACAACACAGCGTGCCTAAGTAACACCAATTCAAGCTGTTCTGCTTTTGCTTTTGAGACTGTTCCTTACTAAACTGCTTAGGTTTAGCTCAAAATCATAAACCCTTTACCTCAACTTCCTGCTAGGGCCTCCTGCTGGGATGGCATGCACGCAACAGAATGCCTGGCAGGTTGCTGATCTATATTAGGTGACTGCTAAATAGCTGATCAGGCATAATAAAAGGGAATAAAACGCTAGTCACCGTGGAGCCTGCTGGCTGTCACCCTGGAGTTTGGGAGGCTGAGGCAGGAGGATCTCAAATTTGAGTCCTGTGTAGGCAACTGAGCAACATTCTCTCAAAATAAAAAATATGAAGGGCTGAGGATACAACTCAGTGGTAGAGGCCCTGTGTTCTACCCCCCCCCCAATACCACACTAGGACACACACACCCCCCCAATCAATCAACCCATCAGTCACTCTCAAAAGACAGTAATGAAAAGTAAACAGAAAAGGAACAAAGTACTGAGTCAGTGCACAACTTAGATTTCTCCAGAGAAACTCACTGACTGACAGGTACCCATCTCACAGGAAACACACTGTGTAGCAGAGACAAGGGACAGACTGGGGGCTCAGGGAGCAAGTAGTGACAAGTAGTGACTACTACCTCAGGGAGGTAGTAGTGACAATGCCATGGGTAAAGCCCCACAGAACCTTGCCCTCAGACTGGGCACCTCCTGCCCACAGCAGGCAAAGGGATGGCACTGTGAGGCCAGGTGAGGGTGCAGGCACTTGCCTCAAACACATCTGTGAGCCCACAACAAGGTCAGTGTGAGACACTGCCGTGAAGCAAAGGGCTTCATCCCAATGGGCTCACCAGAGTATGCGAAGCTTCAGGAAAAGGGGATCCACCCTTTGACCCCTCCAGGAGGACAACAGCCACCATCAGCCCCCCCCCCCCCGGTTCTCCCTGCTCAGGACCCTTGTTAAACAAGGGCAGAAAGACATGAGCTCAGCCTGGGGACCTAGATACCCACAACTCCCAGGTACCGTCCTGCTCACCCAGGGACCCGGAGAAGGGGTTAACATCCCTTCTACAGACAGGCAGCCCAGGTTCAGAGAAGTGCTGTCACCTGACACATGAATGGTGGCAAGAAAGTAGTGGCTCAGTTCAGGTTTTAAGGTTAGAAGTTCCCTGTTGCTATAGGGTAAATTGGAGGGTTGGACCAACCATGCTACCACCTTCCAAGACAGAGCCAAATGGGCCTTGGGCTCTCAGATCTACTGTGCCAGGGGGACAAGGCCAGAAAACAGCCACAATCATCAGTATCCTCAAGGTCCCTGACCACACCACGCCAAGCATCTAGGAGGCAGAGAGACAGCCAGGCAGCAATGTCCCTAACTGTCATCCCCGAACCCACAAATCATGGCTTTGGCCAATGGGGGTTTGTGGAAGGCCCAGATGGGAGGGGACACTGTGGCTAAAGTGGGCTGACATGGCTTAAGTGCGCCAACAAGGCCCAGGGATAAGGGCAACAGTGCAGAGTTCTGAGCCCCCAGCTGACCCTCTGCTCCCAGGGTTACCCCTCTATTCCGACGGCTGCTTCCGGGGTGCAGGGGGCCTCGGGGATTTCCATGCCCCAGGGAGCGCCTGGCCAGCTGGAGACCACTTCCTCAGCAGGAGGGGAAGGCCAGCGAGGAGGGGCACTGGTGTGGCCTTCTGCTAAGGACACAAAGGCACGGCATCCCTTGCCACCCTCAAGATACCTGTCCTGCCCAAGCCCTCTGGTCACCCCAGGGGTCTCAGACAGAATTCCCATTCCATCCAAGGATAGGAAGGACCTGGCAGGGAGGCTCTGATCCTGAGTCCCCAGCAAGCTACTCAGGCCCCCAAATGGCCAGAGATTTGGAGACTCCCACACAGGCCTCAGGATACACCTGTCCCTGCCTTTCTGCCCACACCCTGACCTCTACTTACCACCTTCTAGCTTTCTACTACTCATGTATAGAGGGACCGTCCCCACAGGGCTGCTCCGCCTGAGAACCCTCCTCTCACACTGTATGTCCCCCTCCAGTCTGCCCACCTCCCCAGGCCCCACACCTCCCCTGCCCTGCTCCAAGGTCCTGGCCTAGAGCAGCCTGCAGCCCTGCGACTCAGTACCAGGTCCTGGAACCTTCCCTTCACCACTCTGTGGCCCGCACCCTTGCCCATCCTGTGCACTGCAGGCTCAGCAGCTGGAGTGACCGACTTGCTGTGTCCGCCTGGCAAGCTTCCTGTTTCAGGGTGTCAAGTCTCAAACCTCAGTAAGCCCCCTCAATTGCAGGAACAGGATGGCTGGTCATCCAAGGACCAGACCCTACACAATCAAGTACCTAACACATCTACCAACAAAAACAGCCAGGGTCCCAGAGCTCAGGAGGCAGTGGCAGGAGATCACATGAGGTGATCCAGCCTAGAATACATGAGTTCAAGACCAGCCTTAAGGGGCTGGCAAGATAGCTCAGCAGTCTACAGTGCCTGCTTAGGCAAGCTTAGGCAGGGACAGGGGACCTCGGTTTGATCCCCAGAACCACATGCCATGCCAGCCCCACCCTCAGGGCAGGCTGAGCAGGCAAAAAATAAAAAATAAAAAAACTAGCCTGAACCACAGAGCAAGACCCTGTGTCAAAAACAAAACAGCCTGGGAAACTGAGGCAGGAGGGCTCCCAAGTTGAGCCCAGTGCAGGCAACTTAGTGAGATCCTGTCTTAAAAATAAAAAGGGAAAGAATTGTAACTCAAGGCAAAGGCCCTGGCTTCCATCCTACTATTGGGGCAGAAAAAAAAGCAGTCGAATCCTAGGAAAGCCAGGAATCTGAGGGCTCCTGGGATGAGAGCTATTCTGGCCAGGATGGAACAAGGGAGCAGAGAGGCTTATCTGCCAGGCCACCCTGTGCACCCAGCCCCCCAATAACCATTCCACAATGCCCCAAGGGACTCTCAATCCTACCTGAACCTCCAAACTGAGCTCCAGCCAGGGAGGTGGGCCGGCCCTTCCCATTTGCCACAGGTAGTGGGAACATCTGCAGGGACAAAGAAGGACAGCAATGAGTGGGGGCAGAGAAGAGCCCAAAGCCACAGTCCTGGTGCCTCACAGTCCTGGTCTGAGGCAGGGCAGAGCCCTCCAGGACACTGGGCACCGAGGCTGAGCAGGCGGGCCCCACCCCAGGCAAGATACAACCTCAACTCCAAGGCTGCCATCCCTAAAGTGGGTACAGTCCAGGGCATCCTCAAGGCAGCCAGGGCACGAAAAGGCAGAGATACTACCAGAGTGTGGAGAGAAGACTTGGGTGTCCGTTTCACCCACCCTCAGCTACAGTGTCCAGGGCAACCTTAAAACCCTGTGGGAAACCAGGTGTGGTGGCAAGGCCTGCAATCCCAGCACTCAGCACTCAGGAGGCTGAGGCAGGAGGAAGACTCTGTCTCAAAACAAAAAACAAAAAACAGACTGTGGGAGGCAGCCACAGTGGAACACACCTGTCATTCTAAGTTATGAGTTTAAGCCCAACTCAGCAAAACTCTGTCTCAAAGACAACACAGACTAGGGAGGTAGCTCAGCCCTAAAGCCCTGGGTTCAAACCCAGAGGAAAAAAAAAAGACCTAGTGCCCATTTCCTTGGGGGGTGGGCAGTGGCTACAAGTCCTCCTTCCTCCCCAGCTTAAGAAAGCAAGTACCATGTTCAACAGGCAGGAGTGGCTAGAGACCTTTGGGCCCCAGCACCTCCCAGGGCTGTGGGTTCAAGGAAGGTAGTTATAGGTCAGGCATCCCCTGTATGGTTCAGGGAGCATGCTACACCCCAGCAGGTCAAATATGGGTTGTCGGGGCTGGGGAGATGGCTCAGTAGAATAAGCTCTTCCCTGGCAAGCACAAGGGCCTGAGTTCAATCCCCGGTTCCACCAAAAACAAAACAAAAAACCCCAACAAATATGGGTTGTCTGTCAGAAGGGGAAATTGAGGCTTAGAACAAGAGTGGAGATGGAGCCCGGATATCCCAGAGCGCAGCACTCGCCTGGTAAGGGTGTGGGCCTGTCAGCGGCCACCTGCCCCCTCCCTTTAGCTCATTCCTCCCCAGGGCGCTAAGTCCCTAAAGATTAAACAGCTTAGAGCTGCATTAACAGGAAAGTCCCAACATCAACAAACCCTTTCACCACAGAAAAAACAAACCTGGTCCAGCCCTGCCCCAGGAATGGGTTTAGAGATTCACCCTGCTCAGGGATTCAGGGGTTACTGACTGGAGTTGGCCGAGGGATTCCCTGGGAGAAGCCAGACCCGCTGTCCCCAAGACCTCCCTGGCCAGCCAGGAGAGATAAAACTGAGCATCCTCATCCAGGACTCAGGGGTCCCAGGAAGTAGGGTGCTGCGTTCTCCAGAAGGGGAAAATGAGCCTACTCTGGGGTTATCCAGGCCACAGCCAGGTTCTTTCTGGGGTTCCCTCTTGAAGATCTTATGGTGCTCCTGTGCCAAAAAGGCAACTGTCCCAGCTGAGAAAGGTGCCTCTCCCATTGGGGAGCCTGAGGCCAGCTCTGGGGGAGGGTCTGGCCTGAACCCCCAGACTGCTTGGAGAAGCAGATGGATCCCACTTTGCAAATCCTCCACAGCTCCATGGACCTGGCATGTGTCACCGGGTGGAGGTGGGAGGTGCTGGGCCATGTCCCAGGGACCCCATGATCAGCTGAGCCCGCCCCCACCTCTCAAAGCGTTTCCTCTTCTGCCAAATGGACTGAGGGCTCCGGCCATGTGGGACATTGTGAAAGTGCGCAAGCCGCCTGTACTGCCTACCTAGGGACACTGGGTGCGAACACCTGGGAGTACAGGGACTGCCCTGGCCTCATGGAGGGTCTTACTTAGCTGTCAGCCCAGTGCTCCCTGGTCCCTAACATCTCCACTCCCCCCTTTATCTGGTATCAGTAGGGATGGAACCCAGGACCTGCACACTGAGCTACTTCCCAGCCTTTTTTTTTTTTTTTTTTTTTTGAGACAAGGTCTTGCTAAATTGCCTAGGCTGGACTGAAACTTATGATATTCCTGCCTCAGCCTCCGAAAGCTGCAATGACAGGCATGTGCCACATCTGGCTTCTGTTCTCCCTTTTAGCCAGGAAGCTCAGGTCCAGCTTGAGATATCAACAGGACTTCAACAACGATGTAGGGACCCTCTGGGCAGGAGAGGGATGATGGAGGCCGCAGGGTGAACTCTACCCCCCAAGCTGGTCTGTTCCGGCCCAATAGACTGTGACCTGTCAGTTTAACAAAAAAACACCCAAGCACTGCTCCTGGTTACTCAGCCGGGGAGGCAAAAATAAAGCAGGGCTTCAAAAATACCAGCATGGCCCTTCCGGAGTATAGGCACTCAGCGGCAGCCCAGCATGTTTTTCTGCAGGTTTTGGTCTGAGGGACTCATCCTGGGGAGGGTGCCATTCAGACCAGAAGTGCCTCTGACCCCCTGCAGACGCCAGGGGCAGGGCAGGGTACAAGGACTGGGATGTAAGGTACGGTTCCCATCTGAGTCAGAAAAAAAACTACCATTCTTGGGTTGTTCAAGAAAATGCTAACATCCCCTCTGACAGCACAAGAGGCCCCACTGCACAGGCGGGTAAACTGAGGGCCCTGGGGGCTTCCACAATGTCCCCGACCTCCTGCCACCCACAGGGGCTCTGGTTTCTCAGCTTCATCAGGCTCAGTGGAGCTGTGTAACTCCAGGAGCCAGCACACAGAGACTCCATTTGCATGACTGGAAAGGGGTTACTCAGGGGTGGGCAGCCCAACACGCCAGGCCTGCCACATTCCCCTACTCCAGGGCCCTTACTTGCCTGAATTCCCAGCAACTGAGTCTAGGCAGCCATCAAGTGACAGAAAGGATGATCTCTATTATCTCCTTCATCCTCGTCCAAAGGGTGGGGCATGCTGGCCCCTCACCAATGGTCCCCAGAGTGGGTCCACTTGCATCTGAGATCCCCCACCTCCTCTTTCCACCCGAAGTGGAGCTGGAGACCCTGGTTGTTCTCGTCCTCCAGACCAGAGTGCCGAGGCTACCATCCACTCACACAGCCAGCCAGGGGCTCAGCTTCTGTGAACAAGCTGGAGGCAGCCTCTCTTCTCTGTGGACCTCAACTTCTCCATCCAGAAAATTGCAGCACCCATTCTACACCTAAGAAAAAGTTGTGTACACCCTTCCCAATACAAAGACTCCACTAACCCCACTCCAGTGACTTCCCATGCCAAAAGATTAGGACGATACCCTCATGGGGTGCTTTTGGCAGACACTGCTTTCCCCTTAAAAATTGGCTTGTCAGACTGGGGGTGCAGCACAGTGAACACTTTCCTAGAAAGTATACACTGGAAAAAAAAAAAAAAGGGGGGGTAAAAGAGCTAGGTAGAGCTGGGTGTGGTGGCACACACCTGTTGTCCTGGCACTCTGGGAAGCTGAGGTACTAGGATTGCAAGTTTCAGCCCAACTCAGACCTGTCTCAACATAAAAAATAAAAAAGGGTTGGGGATCTGGAGTGTGAAAACCTTAGGTTTGATCCCAAGTACCAAAAATTAAAAAGAAACGAAACTAAGGGACAGCAGAACAGAAAAAAATAATCAAGTTATATCGTACAGACACAAGTTCTCTAGGATAAATGTGATCATCATGCACACCTAAAATATAAAATCTGACAGAAAGAAAAAACTGCTGAGAGTGGTAGAGAGGAGGGGCAGGTGATGAAGGCCAGGCTGGGTGCAGGCAGGGCTGGGCTCACCATGCTGAAGTCCAGGAGGTCGCTCAGCTCCTTGTCAGTGCCCACCGGCGCCATCCTCTGGGGTTGGCTCATCCTTTGGCAGCAACCAGGGTGGATCCCTGGCCTAGACACAGCCCTGCATGGTAACAGGGACAAGGCAGACCCACACAGAAGCAAGAATGCAGGAACACACACAGAAAAATGGAAAGAAAAAAGATTTGAGTAACTATGGCCCCAGAAGAGGGGGGGGAGGGAGGGAGGCTGAGGGTCTGGGAAAAGTGGGGCCTTGCAGGGGGGTAGGAGGTTCTCTTCAAATCAGATTCCTTGCTGATCTGAGAGGATGCAAGGAAGCTGGGATACCCAGATTTGGATTTTCTGGAGCTGAAGGGGCCCAAACAATGCGGGAGAATACAAATGTCAACTCTCCTGCAACCACCAGGGTTTGCACAACACCCCCTTATTAGAGTGGAAGCAGGGGGCTCACCATCTTTGTTTCCACCACCCACATGCCATTCTCCCCTGGGGAGGGCTGGCCCAGGGTCTGCCCCAAGGGAAATATGGTGGACTACACAACAGCCATCAAAGCAGTCTGAAGACCTGGACCCCAAATCCCAAGCCAAAGAAATCCACAGGTCCCAGGGTTACAAAGTCCCCTTTCCGGGGAGGGCTTAATTACGAAGGTAAGGGGGAGAGAGCCTGGCTACATTCCCTCCCCAGGAAAAGCTTCCCTCAACCTCACCCCTCCTCCTCTTGCCCATCCCCCCATCCAACTGAATTCAGAAAAGGGAAAAAAAAAAAAAGTGATGTTTTATTGTCACGGTGTATCCGGGAATTATTTTTATACAACTTTGAAAAACATCCTTCATCTCTTCCCACCCCTGGGGGGAGTGGGGGTCCATGGGTTCACGCTAAGATCCGGGCAGGGGCAGTCCCTTCTAGAGCAGGGACTGGAAGAGCCACCTGCCAAGCGCTATCCCACCCCAGAAAAAGGCGAGAAGCAAGGCCTCCCTCCCGAAACACTTTTCCCAGGCTTCCCCAGGCGGGGGCGGCCCGAGAAACCGCAGCGACTGGGGGAGGGGAGGGGGTTCCGAGGACGAGGGAGCCCCAACTTAAGCGTAGGCAGTCCCGTTTGCCAACGCAGACACTGGGGTGTGAAACAGGCACCCCGGTGCAACTCCCCCTCCTACCCTGCTACTTTTTTTCCTTTTTACAGGGCGTGTGAAACTGACTTTTTTTTTTTTTTTTAAGTTGTATGAAACCGCACTTTTTTGTGGGTAGTTGAAACCGATTTTCAGACTGACTTGGGGAGGGTTAAAACGGGCTTGTGGATGGGGCGTTAAAGATTTCTGGGGTATCTTAAAAACTTTGGGGAAGCTAGGAACAGACTTGAGTCAGGTTTGAAACCACTTTAGGGGGCGCAGCCTGAGGCGTCTTTTATTGGGGGGACCCCCGCTTCTTGCCCAGCAGCCAGTGCGTCCTGAAAGCCCTTTGAAGCTTGCCTTGCCCCCCACACCGCCGCACCCCGCATTCACGCAGAGCAGATGACTCCGCCCCGGGTCCCCCTGCTCCCCGCGGGTCCCCCCGGCCCGGCCCTGCACCCCGCGCCTGCGGAGCGCGCAGCGGCGCCTTCCCCGCGTAGACAAAAGGCCTCTTTTCCTCTCTCGCTCCCGCTCCAAACTCCAGCCCCAGCAGGGCCCCTCCCTGGGGAGGGGGCGTCTCGGGGACACCCCCACTCCCACGTTGGAGCTGAGGATCCCACCCCCCGCTGTAAAAGTTGGGAAATCTCGCGCGCGCCCCCCGCGTCGCGCAAAGTTTCCTGAGTGCGGGCGACGGGGGGCGCGCGGGCCCCTCCACGTCGGCGCCCCCCTCCGGCGCGCAAAGTTGGAGAACAATGCCGCCCGCGCCCCGCGTCCCGCGCCCGCCCGCCCCGGCTCCTCCTCGCGGGCCCTGGGTCAACTTCGCACAAAGCACGGGGGTCCCCGGGTGCGGCCCCCGCTCCGACCCCGCGCGTT